CTTGTCTCGCGCTGCGCTCGTGGCCGCTGGGGGGCGCCAGGGCGCGGCCGCGGGTTCCCGATCTGAGGGAGGGTGGTGCGGGATGGGGCTCACAGACCCCGGGATTCCCCCTCAGCCCTGAGGGAGACAGGAACTGAGGGAGGGGTGGTGCGGGATGGGGCTCACAGCCTCCGGGATTCCGCCCTCAGCGCTGAGGGAGCCGGGAACTGAGGGAGGGATGGTGCGGGATGGGGCTCACAGCCCCCGGGATTCCCCCCTCAGCCCTGAGGGAGCCAGGAACTGAGGGAGGGATGGTGCGGGATGGGGCTCACAGACCCCGGTATTTCCCCCTCAGCCCTGAGGGAGCCGGGAACTGAGGGAGGGATGGTTTGACCCAACGCAAGGCGGCCCCGGCGTTTCATTTTTATAAATCTCGGTGTGACACCTTGTAGCTTTTCCTGCTAAGTCCAGGACCTGCTGTGCCATCCCACCTGTCCTGGGTAGGTTTTGAACACCAGTTTTTTTCATAACCCTTTGCCAAAAAGGGGTTTAAGCAGCACCTTTGTCACAGGTGAACTTAGACAAGAGTGAATTACAGGAAAAGAACAAATACAAGGTAATTTTTTTGTAACAGCCTGAATTTCCCATGTGTCTGAGAGGCTCAGCTTGTATCTCCACTGTAGAGCTGTAAGCTTTATAATCACTAAAAATAAGGCTAGAGTTGAAAAATAGCTTATACCTATTGGGTTGAGCTTAATTACTGCATTGCTATAAGAAACTCTTGTTTTTTTCTTTTTTTTTATTATTTTACATTTCTGAATAGCTGTTTAAGTTATTTTCTTCACCCTAAACAGAGTACAAGTGTAATGTAGTTCAGATGCAAAGCACATACTTGAACCCACAAAGTGAATTAATTTTGTATTGTGTTCACAGTAAAACACAGCAGCTCAAAAAAAGCTCTGACTGAAAGGAAAGTGCCTACATAGTACATAAACCCTATAACTTCAATGGTATATCTTTGGCTGGGTATGAAAAGACAGGGTTTCAAGTGCTCCTGTGTAAAGTAAATTGTCCAAGAAATGTTCCCTTTCACCAGCAAGGTGTAAAAACCAGGCAGAGAATGGGACCTCTTGAGGTTCTTTTCCATTTTCAAGTTCCTGTAGCTGTACCAGGAGCTCATTGCAAGTGAAACACATCCTCATGGTGAGCAGTTTTCCAGTGCCAGCAACAGCTTTGTATGGTCAGACATCAAAATCCAGCATTTGGACAGTTGTCAAAACAAATAAATAGGGAAAACGTGACTCTATCTGTCATGTTTTAACATCTTTCAACCATTTTTAGCAGTTGCTTTTGATTTTATTTTTTTTGCTGGATTTATGCACCTTTAAAACAGCTGAGAAGAGGATTTGGAAATGGACGATCTTTGGCTTTTTATATTCCATTTTTAGTAGGCAGAGAGGAAACCAATTTTTGTATAAAGGCAGAGAAATGCACACCTAGGTCATATACAGGGAAAAGGTCTACCTGGTAATAGTCTGGATATGTCTGGATTTATATCACCTCTAAAATGATCCAAACACACCCTAAATGGCAAAAAATCACTGTGAACCCTGACCCTGCTCTTAAATTCCACCCAGCAAGGATAGCAGCAGTACCAAATCCTGGATATTTAGCACTAATGCAATGTTATAGCTGGAATCAATAAAGAGCCAAGCTTTTAAAGAAGCTGTTGGGGAAGACTTAGGTTGTGGTTGGCCACCTCTTTGTTCCCCCAGGTTAGGGATCATTTTGAGTTTGTTGTGGTATCCCAGGAAGTTCCTGGTTTCTCCTGGGTGTGTATAATCAGTGGCATAGGTAAATCCGAGGATATTGTGTAAATTTGGGTGGTGGCAGATGTCGTTTCTCTGGTGCTGAGCTGGGCTTTGGGTTTGGTTTTGCCACAGCATGCTACAAAGGACCTGAGAGGAAAACACAGAGAGACTGTGTGCTGTTACCAGCAGTTGTGCTGCTCAGAGGTGCCCCAGGGCTGGGAGCAAGAATTTTCCAGGATTTTGAAGGAAATAAAGGTTAGAGCTGGTGCTGTCCCAGCCACCCAGCTACACGTGACTCTGTGCTTGGCAAAAGCAGCTCCTCCAGTGCTGAGAATCATTGGAGTCAGTTCGTGCCGTTGCTGGGTGGAGCCTGCATTCTGAGCTGGTGGGTAGCGAGCTGCTGAGCTAAGTTCAGAGCTGCTGTGGTCAGTGGGTTCCTTGCTAACAATTTTGGTCTGGCTGGATTCCTTGCCTGAAGGGTTTTGTCAGCTGTCAAGGATGTACTGGATTTGAGATGAGTTGTCTGGCTAACTTAGGGGGATTTTGTTATCCACTTTTGTTATTCCCTGTCACTCTCATCTGCCTTGTTCTGTGTCCAGTATGAGCTCCCTGGCCATGGCTTGGTTTCATCTGAGGCCCTTGCAGGTGTGAAGGTGGCATCAGATGGGGACTGACCCAGAGCAGGCTCTGTGGTTGAGGACTTGTCATGTCAGGATGGAGGCTGAACTTTTAGCCAGGGCTGAAACCCAAGGACCAAATGTGTCATTAGGTCATGTTTAAAGCCCGCACTCCCTGAAGCCTTTTGGATTTGTCTTAAGAGCCAAATTTAGACTTCGAGTTCCCTGCACTTTATATTGTTCTCCTTACCCTCTCATCATAATTTCTGGCTGTTCTGACCTTTTCCAGCATCTCCAAGAAGCAAGGAGACAATAACCAGTCCCACAATAAACATCCCCATACAAGATCCTGGAGTTGTAACGGAGTTTTTTAGCTTAGTTTCTTGAAAAAAAAATGGTTTGTATGCTTAGTACTCTGTCCTTCAAATAGAACTTGAACCTAATTTTGACTAAATGTGGTAGAAACCCTGCATTTTCTGGCTTTGTGTGACTAGGCAGCTGCAGGAAGAAGTGAGATTTTTAGTTAGAGCTGCACTGAGGACATAGCTCAGTGCTTTGGGGATGTTTGTTGCTGGCACAATGTTCCTGAAATGGAGGATAATCTTCCAGGGGGTCTTTTTTGCTTTTCCCTGGAGATGACTCACCAAGAATCCTTGAGGCAGCAGTGATGACAGCAGAAGGAATGATTGCCACAAATGGGGTAACATCATTTCACCCCATGGCCTTAGATAAGTTATTAAGTACCATTCCTTAATCATGCTCTGATAAGAGTGAGTGGCTTCTAAACATTTAATAAATGCAATACTCAAGTCTTCCCAGCATGAAGTTTTGCATGAATAAATTTTAGTTTTTCAGAGAAGAAGAAAGTCTCTACCTAGAGAATATTTTTTTCTTCTATCTGGAGTTTTCATGCCAAAAGTTTTGGCTCGTGGTGCCCGAGGCTGAGCCCTGCAGAAGCTGCCAGCCCTGCCTGCATGGGATGGCTGCATGGCTGCTTCCACCTCCTGGAGCAGACACTGAATAAGGATTCTGCTTTTTATGGATTGTGGGAATTTTGGGATTCTTTTACTTGATTTCTTCTGATTTTATTTGTTTCATTCCTGCTCTGGACTATGTATAGCAGAGTTTTTGTCCCTTTCATCCTCCTCCATTACTTGTTAATATTTTCTGAGGGGTTTTCTCCCTTATGTTCCTTGAAAAAATCCAATTTGACATCCATAGATGGAAAGGTTGCTCACACATCCTTTTCAGCAAAGGATCTGGGAAAAATGAGGACACATGCTGTGGGAGTGTGTCAGGAAATGCATGCAGTGCCATACAAGTATTACCTTATTACATGTACTTGTAGGTAATGTCAGCCAGCACAGAAGGGTGAGGGCTCTGCAGCAGCACAACATACAGGGCTGCCCTCTGGTCTGGGAGGGAAGGAAAATGCTTTATCCATAGTGATTTTGTTCTGCTAAGGTATCAGTGTAAACATTGCTATTTAATTTTCTCTAAGTGCAATGAATGCCATCTGATCTCTGCTTCTAAATCTACAATAGTTTTTTTTAAAAAATCATCTTATTTTACTGCACTTGTGGACTGACTTTCCAGCTTTTCCAGGCAGTAATTCCCTCCTTGCTCTTACCAAAAAAAAAAAAAATTAGATTTTTCCTTATCAGTGTCAAGTTGGCAGAAAAGTTGCTGGTCATAAGGCTACAAAAGGAATTAGAGGCAGGGATGGATGAGCTGCTGAGTGAGTTTGTGGGACTGGGACTGTTGCTGCTGCTAATTCCCAGCACTTTTCCCTTCACACAGGAGGAGGTGAGGACACACAGGAGCACACTGGTAGTGTAAGTCAGTGACCCTTGGTCTGCAGGATGCAGGTGGAAGCTGTCTGGTGAAAGAGTGAGTATTTCTTTGTGGGAATACCTGGGGAGATGATTCCCCCCTCTCCCTCTAGATGCCAGCAGAGCACTAACCTTGCTGTGAGGCGTTGCCTCCTGGATGTATTTCAGAAGAGTTTTAATTTGTAATGCTGCTTGATCACTTTTTAGAGGTTGGGATTAACGGATTGTCCTGTTCAGAACAAACTTTGCATCCTTTGGAGAGCTGATGAAAAGAAGCAGCACCTGGAGTTTAAACATGTTTTTATGAGTATCTGTTTCCGCAAATACAAAACATGTTCTCACCTGTGATACATCTCTCTCTATTTCACAGGTAAAGAACGAATCACAGACTTCTTGGCAAGCACCATCCTGAGCCCTCAGAGGCATCCTCATTTGTATCTCCACATAAAGGTGTTGTTCCAGAGATCCCTGTGAAGGAGTATGGCTGTTCCAGGGCAGTGCTTGCTGAGGGAGCATCGTGGTTGAACTTGTGCATCCTTCCATGAAGAGGCTGATGGAGCCTGGGATGTGGTGTGAGCTCCCTGCCTTGGGCCGTGTCATCTCCCAGCTGGCCCATTTAGTGTCTGTCACCCCTCTGGCCTTTGTGACTGGAAAGTGGGATCCCTTCTGGTGAATCACCTTGTCCTGCTCCTCTGGGCTTTCCCACATGCCTACTTACAGGCATGCCTGCTCTCGGGGTGCATTCTCTAAGGGCATTTATTGCACTGAAAGCAAGGTGTCCCTCTCTGCTCCTGCACCGCCAGCAACAGTTCTGGCCCCTGAAGAGTCTTTTTTTTTACCTGTATGGAGGGGATCAGCTCCATTTCCCAGAGTGTTTCTGCTGGGAGACTCTGTGAGACTCAGTGACTGATTTTCAAGTGCTGTTAGAGACAGAGCATCGTGCACTTCTGCCGTGACAACCAGGGATGCACCCACAGGCACCCTTGGCTGCTGTGGACTCTTTGCTTGGACTTGCCTCTTTGGAAAGAGGACAAATACAAGTGAATAGAGAAGGATCTTGATAAGACTGTCTTCCAAGCAAGGACATAGAAAAAGCTACACAAACTGTTCAAAAACTGTATTTCAATGCTCTCTGCACTTCCCCCAAGTGATCTTCCTCTCAGAGAAACAGAACAAGCGGAACTGCGCAGCAGTAAGTGAAGTATTAGTTATATATTTTTATATTTTGGCTTTTTATAGCTCTTAAAAATTGTTTCAGAGATGTTTGGGTATTCCAGTCACGCTGCCAAAGGTTTATGTGTTTGAAGCTGGAGGTACACATGGGATTTGCTGTTGGGTGCAATCAGGAAAAAGGGGGAGGAACAAGCAGGTGGAGCAAAGCAGGGCAGCTTCCTAAAATGGCTTTATTGGGAGACTTTCTGTGCAGCCCCTGGGTTGCTTTGTTCCCCTCACTGCCCCAGTCCTGAGCAGTGCTCTGAGAGCTCCCTCCACTGGAAAAAGTTTAGTTGGTCACTACTAAAATGAATCCGGGTGAAAATACGAAGTGGTAGTAGGAAAAAAAAATAAATCTGCATTTGAAGCACTGATACTTCTCATAGATGTTGATAAATACAAATCCCATGTTTTTAACCCTGCTGCTACATCCCATACATTCCACTTTCCACCTGTGGAAGGGTTGAGGGTTACTAGGCAAGAGGGGGGCACTGCCCCTGGCTGGGGCATCTGTGCTTCAGGATGGTTCATCAGCTCAGATGGAATTGGGCTGCTGAGGGTCACTTTAAGTTGGAACAAGTGGGGATTTTGGGAGCAGGACTTGTATATTTGTGTGGCTCCCAGAAAGGGCACTTTAAAGGAATGGGAGGCTCTGATGTGTTCCCTTAGCTGTGAAATTCAGGAGAGGCTGGATGGAGAACTGATTGGAGAAATCAATTGTGATGGACTTCCTAGTTCAGTGATTATCAACTGCAGTGTGGTAAAGGCTAGTGAGATATGTCCTCTTAATATCTCATTTTAAATGATGTCCTCTTGCTTTGGACCAACTCATATTGAAGTGGGAGCAATCTTTATTTTCAGTTCAGTATCTTTTTTTCCTGCCCTTCTCTGGAGCTAATCTTTGAGACAATATAAATTGCTCTTCACAAATCTCTTATTTTGCTTTGTTTCTGGTAAAACCAAACACCCCAACCAAGGTCTCCTAGAGTTATGCTGTGCAAACACAAGGGAATATATGATCTCTGCCCCAGTTTAGCATAATGAGTCTTTGGCCAATTTGCTCTCTTCAAATGACAATCATCTGTACCTGTTTATTAAACCCTCCAGAAAATGCAGGAAAAACCAGGCCAGAAATAAGTGTAAAACCTAGGTCCAAACAGAGGAAGGTCCGAACTACCGGAATGAGAAAATAAGAGATTTTCAAACTGAGAAGGTGACACCATCCTGTCTTCTTCATTTGCATTTCACTTCCATTGAGAGTTTGAGTCATGGGGCTCAGGACAGACATGGCAGGAATTTGTATCTGTCCAGTCACAGTCATTCCCAGACCAGGGCTGGGGAGAGGACAAATTTCCAGGAAAGGTTTGCAAGTCCATAGTGGTGAGAAGGCACAAGCCTCCTGCTGCCACATACAAAAAGAAATCACTTGGGACATCAGAGAACACAACTACCGTAATAAAAACATTTCTTTACTATATGTTGAAAGTTCATTCTAAAACAACAAAAGGAGTTAATTTTTCAGGCTGAACATTGTCGATGGTAAAGACAACACCAAGATCCATGTCTTTAAAAACCCAGAATATAGCTCTGTAGCTTTTATTTCTGTAATACTGAAAGCATTAAAAACCCCAAAAGAATGGAACTTTTACACAGTACAGCACTTTCCCCTCAGAGTCCAGGGGGTTTTATTCACTGTGTTTGTACAGCAGTGTACAGCAGCTGGAACAGGCAGCTCCTGAAACTGAAACCTATGAGGAAATATCAGATTGGGACACCTCCTTGGATTCTAGTGGCATCTCAAAGTTGGGATTGTCAGCATCTCCTATTATTGTACAGAAATTGGCACCCAAGAGTTCATTTGAAAGGTGTCTGCAGAACTGCTGCTAGTGCAACAAAAAACTAGGATTTTTCAGGTCTCAGCAGCACATGCATTAAATTGCTTCATTACTTGGCTCTTTGCCTCTGTATGAGGTAAATCTTGGGACAGAACATCCTCTCTGCTTAAAATCCACTGGGAAGCAAATGTTAATATGCTCCCTTCTCCCGTTCTGTGGGTCACTACCGTACTGCAAACCCCCCACTGCCTGTCAGCTTGCTTTGGGGAAGCACTTGGGATGCTCAGTTGTGGACAAACTCATAAAAAAGTCAGAACAGAACAATTACCTCTGTCCTAAGGATCCTGCACAACCTATGACTACAGTTAAATTTCATGTTTCTTTTTCCTGAACTGGTTAGGTTGATGATCTGCATCCACTGCATTTCCTTGGAGGAGTTAGAGCTGCACAGCACCTTGTCACTGAGCCCACTCACTCCTTTCAGCTGTACTCTCTTCATGGAGAATACCTTTAAAAAATTGAACCCCCAGTTTTGCTCTGTGAATAAAAGCAGTGTGTCTTGCTCAGCTTAATGCACCTTGGATTACAGCTCTCATCACACAGACTGTGCTCATGAGAGATACTGGAGGCAGACAGCTGGCCAGGCAGCCTCTTACTGTGTGAAATTTATGCTACTCCATTTGTAGCTGATTACAAAAACAACTTTACAAGGTTAGTGTCCAGGCTTGCTGCTGCTTAGCACAGGAACAGGAGTCCAAAGCCTTTTTTCTGGTTGACTACCTTCATTATTAGTTTTTCTCTTTTTTTTTTGGTGCTTTTCTCTCCCTTAGAAACGTCAGGGTTATGGAATCTGATGGTTCATAGTTTTGCTGAAGGACATTTTCAGAGTCTCACAAAAACACACCAAGGTGATGGAGATAGTGAACTTTGAATGCATAGAACAATCACTCAGAGCTAATTAGTGGTTTGTAATTTTAAGGGATAATCAAATGCTGGGTTCTTGTAGGAGACTAAGTGTGTACCATACTGCTCACTCTGAGGCTTTTTACATGCCTTACACAGGCACACAGACAAAATAATTGTGGTAATGAGAAAGAGTCCACTTGCTGCAGACAGACCAGCAAAAACATACTTGTAGCTGGGTTTTGTTTTAAAGCTGGTGCACGAATTACCTGGAATTTCCTGGCCTGATGTCTGGCTTGACCCTGCTTTGTTGGAGGCAGTCACACAGATTTGGTAAGTGGTGAATGGCAGCAGGTTATACAGAGTGTACTGCCTGGCTGTGGGGTAGATGTTGTCCATGACAAGCTGCCTGTCCTCGCTGTCCTGGGCACGAAGCATCAGCTCATAGCTGTGAACAACTGAATAAGGGGCACACCAGCGTACCTGTGCAGAGCTGTCAGTGACTTCAATCACCTCTCTGAGCCTGGGTGGGTCTGGAATCTCATCTTCCCTCGACGTGCCGGGACACGAACACTGGGATATGTTCTGGAGTTCCCTGCATGGCTTCTGCAGGTGCCTGCAAGGATTGTAGTCACAGGCGATGTGCACCTGTGGGCCTTGCACTGGGGTTTCCTTTGCTGCTTCTTCATAGTCATAGTCATCAATGTAATGTGGTGATGGTGTGGTGGGTGCAGGCTCTGAATGGGCACTGCTCCTTGTGGAGTTCAGCTGTGGGGGGCTCGTTTGTGGGGCACCTTCCTTGGCATGGGTGGCAAAGGAGTGAACGTGGTGGTTGGTGGTGTGGGGAACTCCTGTTCCTCCAGTGGAATAATCACTGGTGGTCTGGTTGAATTGCCCTTCCTGAGGTAATGTTGTGTCGGTTGTTCTGAGCCCTCTCTGTAGCTGTTCTGTTCCAGCTGGACTTGTGGAGCTGTGATCTGGGGACTGAGCAAAGAGCTCTTGGAGAAAAACTGGGAAGGAGGCTACAGATGCTAAGGAAGGGGGATTGCTTGTGGATTCAGAAACTGCCTCCTCGTGGGAGGAACTGTTGGATTTTGTTAGGATCAACTCTGTTGTGTTGGATGCTGCAGTGCTCATCACATCCCTCTGGATTAGGGAGCTGGTATAGGCGTCTTTGGTTAGCATTGGGTTGGATGCTGCAGTGCTCATCCCATCCCTCTGGATTAGGAAGCTGGTATAGGTGTCTTTGGTTTGTGTTGGGTTGGGTGTTGCAGTGCTCATCCCATCCCTCTGGATTAAGGAGCTGGTATAGGTGTCTTTGGTTAGCATTGGGTTGGGTGTTGCTGTGTTCCTTACATTCCTCTGGATAAGGGAACTGGTGTGAGTCAAATCTTTGGTCAACAGAGCTGAGTCTGTTGTTACTGTAGCAGAGGCATCATCACTGGTGAAACTGAAAGCATTGTAGTTGGGAAGGGCTGTGCTTGAATCAGGCAGTGTAACATTGCTCTCTGAATGGCATTTATCGTAGAGCTCCAGCAGCGAAAAAGATGTTGGAGGTCTGCCAGAATCTTCCTGGGATGTGCAAAAAGTCTCCCGAGCCCTGCAGGAGGAAACCAGAATAGTCAAGATCCAGAAGAACATCACAGGTGTATGTAGGCTGCTTGGACTGGAATTGATGACCTGCTGTCAAAACAGTCTGTGTTAGTGAGAATGTGAAACCTCGATCAAAACTAGATTGTCTTTACAATAGTCTGGGCAGATTTCCACAGCACTGACTGTGAAATTTAACTGGAACTGGCTTTTTGGTTTTGTAAGGTGCAGGGATATCTTTTGCCCGAGGGGAAGTGTCCTTTGGTACAACAATGGCTGTGAACTTTAGCAAAGGGCATCGGGATTCAAGGCAACTTGTAAAGAAAGGGTCAGACTTTAATGCCACAGTAACAGGGGAACACATGCAGGGAGATGTAACAGGATTCCAAGGATTCTTAATCCATCTGGTTTAGGCAGTGGGAGGTGGGACTTTTCAATGACTAAGATCGAATTCTTTATTTACTCAGACACTGAAGTTTTGGTAAAGAATGCAACTGCTAAACCCATCCCGGTGAAAAACTAATTTCAACAGTCTAAACAATCTACTTCCCTTCTCTCTGAGAGATTTGATGACAAATCTTCTCGGTGGCCTTTTAAAAGGAAGAAAGACCATTTATATGCAAATATTTCTTTTAACTGCAGCTTATTGTAATTAGTCTGTAAAACTGTAGGGGAGCATGAAAACAATAGGTGAGAAATGGTGCTATTTGCAAGGGGTTTTGTTGACTGCTGGTGGTGATGTAAGCGTTGGGAATAGCAGGGTTAGAAGAAAATAATTCGTTCAAGATCTTCTAAAGTTTTCCAGTTACTGCTCCCAGAGCTGGTACATCAAGACAGCTCATTTCCTGTCTTCAGCTAATAGTGAAATATGGTCCAAAACAGAAAACATTCTCCCCTTAACGTAGAATCCACAGCTAATAACATTTAATGCTTTGTCCCTGAAAGGGACATTATTTTGCACTTCTGCCTCTTGTGGAAGGGAAGAACACACAAGGAATTTGAATAACTTTGTGAATGGTGGTGAATGTCTGCCCCCCAAACAACTCTGCACATTGAAGTTGTGTCTGAAGAGCATTACTTGATCTCCTTGAGCTCACTTACTTTTGCAGAACGACTTTCTTGGGCTTGGACAGCAGCCAGGAGAGCTGGCAGTTGCACAGCAGAGGATTCCCATACAAGTTGATGGTGGTGATGCCATCCGATGAATTGGTGTTCCAAGGATTAAAGGAACTCAGGTTACAGCTACAAGAAGATGAATACAGTAATTAAAAAATGCTGAGCTACCTTAAACAGCTGGAGTGTACTTAGTATCCCTTATCCTTAGTGTGTGTAAGGCACAAAGCAATATTCCCAGTTGCCTTGGCAGTAACCAGTTACTAAACCCACCATCCTGCACTCTGCAGGCTCAGATGCTCTCTTTTTTTCTAGGATTTTAACAGCAATTTCTTTAAGTTTGGGCATAATTTTTAGGGGTATGGGCATGATACTTTGGACTGGTATTCCTGCAAGCATTGGAAAGTGCTGTGTAAACCCCATAGGGCAGTCAAGGGGGGATGGGTTCCATAGGGTTTTTGTTTTGTATGGGTTTATGTTCCTGAAACTGGTTTCTAGGCACAGCCAGTGCTCTAGTGTTTGTTTTCTGATATGCTTATATCTGGATTGGTATTATAAAAATGTTTCAAAGTGCTCTCCAGATTTTTTCCTTTGTGCTGACTGCTCTGTACGCATTTTACCTGCTCTTTATCTTTTGATAAATCACTTTTGGACTTTTGCTCCTCTTAGTATTTCAGGTATGTAACATACCAAGAGGTGCTACCCCTAGAATGAGGACTAAAACATTGCATTCATCCTTGCAGAGCAGGGGACTCTCAGTGAGCTGCTTCTCCTCTGATGGGATATTAGCACTGTAGGTGCTGGAAGCCCAGTCTGTATCACAGGTGGGATTCAGTGGATCTGTGCTGATCTAAACAGTGCTGGGTGAATTCATCCACAGGACAGAGAGATAAGGCAGAGGAGAGGGAACACAATGGATACAACCTCAAGCAAACAATTAACTGTGCTATGAGTCCCATACTGCTCTTTGAGCTGTATCAGCTCTATCAGGCCAGATCAGAGGTTTTACATGGCAAAGACAGCAAGTCCACACCTCCTTCCTAAATCTGATAACAAACTGTTTGAGTCAGTGCCCGGGCACCACAGCACTGTGAGGCAAAGGCAGCATTATGTGAGGAAGGACAAAAAAAAACAACTCACTTCTCAAATGAGAGATGGCTCAGATGAGGAGCACTGGCAAACATCTCTGTCTGCACAAAACTCAGGGAACGGGAGTTCTGACAGTGCAGCTCTTGGAGACCAGGCAGAGACTTGAAGACGTCGCTGTCGAGGCTTCTTAACCGTGGCATGTTTGTCAGGTGAAGTGATCTGAGGTTGGCCAAGTCTCTGACCCACTCTGGCTGAACTGAAACAGAAAAATACTTAAACCTATTGCCTAAACAGAGCATTCCTGTGGATTTCTGCCTAGAAAAAGAGTTTGAATTAATAGATATAATGTATCTGTCACTTTCTGCAGCTATTCTCTTTGGGAAAGGAATAGAACAAAAGTCAATACACCAGTGTATAAACACTCATGCAGCTGCATTTTTATAATAGTCCCTGCAAGTCAGGCTGTCATAGGGCAGAGGAAAAGAGGGGAAAAAAGGACAACAAAGATAAGAGATATGGAATAGATTTCTCGTTGGGTGAGATTAAATGAATGAGGATTTCTCCACTCAGGAAGGTGATCTACAAGGTCCTGACTGGTGCAAGAAAGGCAAATCACTTATTTCTCCTAGCACAGGAAGTAGAGCCAAGAGGCATGAAACAGAAGGAGTAGGTCTTGTACAAAAGGGCCTTTCCATCCCATGACTCAATAGGATAATTCACTACCACAAGAGGGATTAGGCAAATTCATGGAGGAAATTTGGTGGTGCAGGTTTAATGTGAGTTGAGGTGAAGCCTCTGGCTTGAGGAGCCCCTAAGGCCCTGGCCCTGCACCAGGCTGAGCAGCTGGGCAAGGCATCTCACATCTGTGTGTCTCAGCACCTCAGGTGTAAGCTGAGGCTGGCAGGGGAGGCCGGCAAAAGGGAAAAATCCTCCAGTGGATTGTTTGGGGCAGGGATTGTCTCCCCCCTCAGCGGAAGTATCCAGGCTGTGGATGGCACAAAAAGCCTCTGTGCTACTTCAATGCAGCACTAAAAGCTGAGTGTAGTTGTGGGGACAAAGAAAGATTTCAACAGCCTGTTTGGAAAGAGAAACTAATTTCCTCCTGTGCTTCCCAGAACTAATCCTGGGGCTGACAGGGGGATGACTGTCAGTAGCAGACAGTGGGATTAGGATGGAAGTGGGTGACTACACTGGGACAAATCGTCCTGTCTCATAGTGTTTGGTCTCTGCCCTTCCTTCGGGAGGCTGGTTTGCATGAGAGTGCCTTGCACGCTTGGAACCAGCTGTTTGCAGCTTTCAGTGTGGGGTGTTCCCCCTGCACTCCAGGCTCAGCCAGGATGGGAGCCATCGTCCCAGCAAGGCTTCTGCTCCCCTGGCCTGACCAAGCCCCATGCCTACAGTGGGAAACCCAGAAACTTACTTTTCTCAAAAAAGGTTCTGCTCAGATCAAGCACGTTGATGGAGCTTCCAGGCCTGTTCATGGCCTCGTTGGGATCTGTGCTGATGGCAAAAGCAGAGTCCCCAATTCCTCTGCTGTCATCCTGCCCAAGCAGTGTTGCAGAGAGGTTCAAGACCTGCAGCTGAGGGTAGCAGGAAAAAGCCAGTGGCTGGATTTCCATCAGTGGATTTCCAGCCAAGGACAACCACCTCAGGTTAGGCAGGGCAGAGCCGTGGCAGGATGGCACAGATGACAGCTTATTAAAGCTCAAGTCCAGCTTGAGCAGACTGCTGAGGGCTTCAGATCCCCACCTCACTGACCAGAGGTGGTTGTGCCTCAGCGAGAGGACATGCAGCTGTCGGAGGTTTGCTATCTCTGTGCCGTTCACCTCTTGCAGGAGGTTATTGCTGAGATCCAAGGTCTCCAGGGCCTCTGGAAGGCAGACAGGAAAAGCTGTCAGGTTGCTGTTGGTCAGCTGCAGAGTGATCCAGGTCTTGTTCTTCCAATCCTCACAGGACATGCTGGTAAGATTAACATTGTTCCAAGTGTCTTCCTGAGCCAGCTGGAAAAAGGTGGTGACATCCCTGGATGCTGCTCTGCTCACGGGGCCTTGCGCTGTGGTCCCCAGCAGCAGTGGGAGGATGAGCAAGGGCGACAACATCCTTCTCTGAGGTGCCTGCAGTTTGCAAGATCTGTTTCCTTTTTGTTTCAGGAAGGGGAAAACAAAACATCAACATTTAGATTAAAATTATTCCAGGTATCTACAAACCATTTAAAAGGAAAACAGTTATAAGCCCTTTCCTATTGTATTTGGACAATGATAAGTGATAATTAATAGCTCTTTTGTAATTGAACCTAAGTAAACACGTTTTTCACACGTGAATCCTTGGGGACAGAAGTATCATGCAGTCTCAGTCATGCAGGAAGCATGAACCCAGTTGTATCCCACACCAGGACCCTCAGTGCCAGCAGGCTGTCCTGCATAGTGTCCAGTTTGGCCAGCCCAGTGGGAAGAGTTTTCCTGTGGTGTGATGCCCAAACAACAGGGTCAAGTGTGCCCATGGCAAGGGACTGTTTCCTGTGATACTGTGCAAAGCAAATCAAGGGATCTGAGGACAGAGGAGAGTTGCCAAACTTCAAAGCACAGGATCCCAAACTGGGCTGAGTTGTGTTGGAGTGGGTAAAAGTTGGCAGGTAAAAGTTCCTTTCCTGTTTATGGAAGTACTTTCATTAGCAAAACCAGGGACTTGTGTGGGCTCTGCCAGGGCAGTTCTGCCCCATTCTGAGGACAGTCACAGTGGGGGACCCCACAGGGGTTTGGGGATACTGAGCAGCTGGCAGTGCCCCACAGCCTGTCTGCCAGGCAGCGGCAGGGCTGGGCCCTGCTGTAGATGAGAGCTACAGACAGGCTGCACAGCCCAGCTGCTGGGAAAGGATGCACTGAAAATACAGCTCCCGAACCACATGTCAGTGGAAGTGGTCAGAAATCGAGTATGCTCCTGGATCAGGGCCCCAAAGGCCTGAGCGCCAAGAAACATGTTATTTAGTGTTACAGCTCCCTCCTCCTCCCAGCCCTGCTTTTGCCTTTGTAAAAAAAAAAAATGTCCTTAATGACCTGTGCGAGGTCCCCACAGGTACTCTGTGTCACAGGAAGGCATTAACTCCAGCCCCAAACCCATGCTTTTCTTATTGAGCTGTCTTTTGTGCTTCCCGGCATCAAAACGATCATTCCTACTCCAGAAATATATTACAGTGTAGGGTGATAACCGAAGCCCCGCGTATTATGAAATATCTCCGACCTATTCCAAAGTTTAATTGCTCCTTGCTGCTCCCTGAATGATGCCAGGTCTTGCCCAGACTGTTACCCTTTGCTGCCATCCCGGGTTTGAAGTAGGGACCAGTAAAATAGCATAGACCACCAAAATAATGTGTTGTGTTTGCCCATGTCGTTTTCGTCAGATGGAACCTTGCAAGAGCCAAGCAGCCTCAGGGCTTCCCGGTCACCGCTGGATCCCCTGCTCCGGAGCACGCTGGCAGGGAGAGGATGGGAGGAATTGGGCTGCCGTATTCCAATCTTAGATTTAATCTTAGCCCTTGTATCTAAACCGGATCCGCTTGCACCTACCTGTCCTAAAGTCCTGGTGCCTCGTGCCTCCGCTCGGAGTGGCTCCGGCTGCCTGGCCTTGGTTTTATACGCTTGGTGTGACTCAGCCGACGGCGTGAAATGCCTCTTTTCTGTTCCCAGCTTTCCCTGCTCCCGGCTCTGCCCACAAACTCAGGCGAGGTTTGTTCCAGGCTCACTCCCCCGCATCCAGCTTTGAGAGGGGGCGGCTCCGGGCAGCTTTCCCCGCTCCCTTGGCCCTAGCAGGAGGTGGGTGGGAGGGCTCTTATTTCCCAACACTCAGGCAGGGCTGCTCCTGCCTGTCTTTGTCCAAGCAGAGGGGGGTAAAGGGAGCAGATCAGTGTCAATAGTCCCTACTCTCACGTCTTCCATTAACGGGGGGAGGGAGACGAATTGTGCTCCTTTGTTGGCAGGTCAGGATGATGTAAAGCTGGGGCTCTGCCTGCTGACATGAGCTTGGCTCTCTCTTTAGGCGCCAATGAGGGGTTTCAAGTGTTTAAATTTCTAAGACTCTTGCTCTTGGGGAGTAAATCCTGCAAAAGTTCACGCAGGACAAATTACTTTTCTAAGGAGGCCCTTAGGATATGTCAAAAGTGAAACTCTCAGAATTACAGAGAGTCATTCTCTGCCGATGGAGAGGGCGTGAATGTCACACATTCCCCGTGTGACAGTCTTGGGAGGCTGCTCTTGGTCCCGCTGTGCGTGGGTTGTGCTCTCCGTTCTGCAGCTGTGTACCACATGGCTTGGGAGAATTCCCTTCCTGCTACTTCTCTCATCCTTTGCTGGATAAGTAAAACTGACAACATAAACCATCTCCCACTGAGAGACCTGCCCTGAGCTGGGTTTTTCAGCATTCCCACAATTCAAACAATAATTAGGTCGAGAGCAGAGAATAAAGTCAGAGAAATGATCCCAGAAAGGGATGAGTTGATGGAGATTGTGTTCCAAAGTAAAAGCAAAAGGGGTGGTTGTCCTGTTGCTATTGTAGGACAACTAATTGTTCAAATTTCCAATGGGAACAGTAGTCAGCGCTTTTCCTTTATCGGGGCAACAACAGACCCCTGAACATGAAGGCAGCAACGACCTGTAAACATTGGTGCTGAAGTGCAGATAAAGGTCTTCCTTGCCCAAAAACCTTGAGCCTGCAAGTAAACTTTACGCAGACCTTATCTATTGACGGCGTGGGTTATTATGTGCGTGGGGAGAGAGCCTTGAAAAACACCAGGACATCCACAGAGCAGAGATAGGGGCTCCCAGTAGGACTCTCTGGAGCCATTGCGGTTCCCTTGGAGGCTGGGCGAGGTGCACATGTTGTTCCCCCATGGAATGGCTCCAGGGCAAGATAAATGGTTTCCTCAATGAGGGGCTAATCCCACCGCTGACCCTGGAGGGGCGGCCGGGCCCGGCACGTGCGCACCCGCAGGTACCTTCAGAGCTCTGCACTCGCTGCGGTTCAAAGGGTGAAGTGGAGCAGGTTACAAAAATCTGAAGAATTCGGTATAAGAGGAGGAAAGTTCAGCTCCAGACAGGCCGGTGGAAAACCTTGCCTTCCCTCTGGCTTCGCAGAGCTGCGGCTCTCCTCTTTGGGAAGCCGAGGAGCAGGGAGGTGGCCTGGCTTTGCCCTGGGCTATTAAATACTTGTGTTTGCTGCCCTTAGCTCAGTGTTTACAGTCAGTGGATTTTTATTGCTTATTTTAGGGTTATTGGTTATCTTACTGATTTTAATATCTTACAAAAATACTCCAGGAAACTCGGCGAGCCAAAAGCTGCCTTAATTTGAATGAGTTCATCCTTACTGACTTCATTTTAGAGACTCAGTTGAGCAGACTGTCAGACTGGGAGAGCGGCTGCTCGTTTTGGTGAAGGTGGAAGGGAGGTGGAGGTTTTGTTTGCCCAGAGGCCCTTGATTTCTGAGTGATAAAGAGAACCTGTTGCAAGAGGCAGAGCACCCTTGGAAAATGAGCTTTTGTTGTTTTTATTTTCCATCGTTGTTTCTGGTTTTTTGGATGGCCAGTTTTTTTTTGTGGCAGGTATTGTATCTTCCCAGCTCTTTGCTTAGCTGCAAACTCCCATCATCTGAAATATTTCTGCTATGGTGCTACATCTCAGGCAGCTGCCCAGGTACTGGCAGGTTTCCCAGGGCAGGCAGTAGCCCTCAGTTCACAAGTTTCTTTGAAATACCTACTAACAGCAGGCAGAGATTTCCCCTTTGTGAGTCACTTTGGCTTGTTCTCATGTCGCCTTTTATTCTTTTTTCCGCTTTTCTGAGTGTTTCAGTGACAACCTGAGGGAGCGGTTAGCAAAGGCAGGCGTTCCTGTCAGCCTTTTCACACGCTGATGCAAAGAGAGCTGAAGCAGACGCCCCCTCCCCGGGGGCGATTCAGGGCTGCACAAAGCCCCTCTGCCCGCAGGAATTCTCGGGCTGAGCCCTGCATTCCTTAGTGACACCAAGATAAGCAGAACTGGGGTGAGCAGAAAGGTGAGGATGGTACCAGGCTGTAAAGTTTAAGAGGTGAATGTTTCTTACTGGCCGTGATCCAGGTGATGTTTAACAATGAAAATATCTTGAAAAAAAATCTGGAGAATGGCTTTTAAAGCCAACAAACGAACTGTTTCACAGGTCTGTCCACAGAGCAAGCACAAGCAAGACATTTTCCCACAAAGAAAGGAGAGAGAATGGAAGAACAGGATAATTTAGCTTGAGGTTTGAGAAAACTATGGGGTGTGTGTCTCCTTACACGGGATGAAGGCAATGGTGAAATCCTCTATGGAATTTGATGTAAGAGCAGCAGGATCCATCTGACATCAGCAGTGCTTTACCTTGACCTGGCTTGGGTTTAATTAAGCACCGTGTACAGAATAGGGTAGCAGCTGAGCTGAGGTATGAGTTTCCTAAAGGTTTGTTTTCATCTAAGAACATTCCTGTCCAGGATTTCATCTCTGTATTGCAAAACTCCAGGGCTGACGCCCCTGTCCTGCTTTCACTCATTCTGGGAAACCTCTCCCACATCTGGCACTGTACAATTAATAACATGGTTTCTACAGCCCACTGAGCCCGTGATCCTCAGCCCTGTGCAAAAAGAGGTGTGATGAGCTCAGGAGAGTCAAGTGTGGTCAGGTTATTGCACAAGTAAGGGAGGCTGTGGAACCCCACGTGCATTAAGGGAATGTCTGGAGCTGGCTGGGACGTGCTCGGTGACATGGGATGAAAGATGACTCGAAGCTGTGGCTGGTGCAGGGGTCAGGCAGAGCAGGCTGGGGCAGGCCTCCTCTCAGGTGCTGCCCACCATGTCCAGCCTAGAATTATGGAAGTGCAGGAATGCCCTGGGTCATGCCTTCCCACTCCTACCTCTCCAAGAAGGAGCCTTCCTACTGAAACCCCTCCTCTGCTTGTAGGAAGGGGAGCTACAGTCACATGCAACACTCAAAGCCGCCGGATAAAAGCAGTTTCCTTTCCTACCTATTCCTTACCTATTGTGATAAAGCCTTGCAAAGTGAGTGGGGCAAGAAGAGTTTCCTGGAATGACTTAAGGAAATATGGAGAGAGGGCATCAGCAGGGGATCACTCTCTTAAACCTAAAATGGCAAAGGATAAGGCTTACAGCCAGCTGGGATGAGCTGGCAGAACTCCTCCTTGCAAAGCAGTAGTGAAGGATTTAGTCGAAAGGCAGTGACACATGAGCTAAGATTGAAGGAGGGGCAGGAAAGAAAATGGAAATATTTGTCTAGTTTTTCTGAAATCCCAGTAGAGACAGTTTGAACTGCAAGTGAACGTGCTTGTTTAGCAATGAAATGAGCCACACACTCATACTAATGAGAGCTATGCTCAGATTTCCCATCTCTGCATTCCTGTGCTCAGGTCACGTAGGCAAGTGCAACAACAGGGCCTCCATGCAGCACTCGAGACAAGCTCTGCTCCCAGAGTCCCAGGCATGGGCTGTGCTTCCCATGGAGACATCCACAAGAGTCTGGCATTGCTCACTGCCAAATGAGGGCTCTCATGCAGGCATGGTCAAAATCCTCACTGCAAAGCCTAAGTGGAGTCTGATCTGGAAGGCTGCTGTCTGTGGAAGAGGTGCTGGCACTAATATGAGCATTTAGCTCTCCCATGGCACCCTTAGGCAGGCTTTAAATGTGGCCAGTGTTTGGACTTGGGTCGATCTCACAACATGAGGAACATACTTGGCTTGTGTCAAACAGGTGACAAGTGTGAGTTCTCTACTGAAGGAAAACTGGATGGTCCTTCAGCCTGTGCAAAATGTGCTGAGGAGAGAGAAGAACAGAGGGCTGGGAAGCAGACTGTATTTTTATCTTTTTGCAAATGTAAAGCTGTAGTTTAAACTGCACAAACAGAGTGATTGCACTGAAGCCCATTGACAGGGGCTGGGGAAAAGCAGAGCACATGGCATGAAAGTCAGGGCTCTCAGTTTCCAGTAAAGTTTATGAATTTATGCAGTGATTTCAGCATCCCTTTATGATATGACAACACCTTTCCATTGTATTTCTTTAGATATGCGAAACCAGTTTTGGTTTGTCCAGTAGTTTCATGAATTCTCCCAGCTTTACTGTGTCCTTACTTTACAGGGTAGTACTAAATTTCATTCACTTTGGTGGATGTGTGGGGCTCCTTCCAGCAGGCAGAGCTGCTGGCTTCAGATCTGGTTCCTCAGAGACATCCCCAGCTCCTCTGGACAACCTGTGCCAAGGCCTTACCACCCTCACTCACAGGGAAGAATTTCTCCCCAGTATCCAACCCAGCCCTGCCCTCTGTCAATGGGAAGCCATTCCTCCTTGTCCTATCACCATGTGCCCTTGGCAAAAGTCCCTCTCCAGCTCTCTTGTAGCCTTTCCAGGGGCTCCAAAGTCCCCCCAGAGCCTCTTCTCCAGGCTGAGCACCCCCATCTCTCTCCAGAGAGAGAGGCTGTCTCCAGAGCAGAGGGGATCCAGCCCTTTGAGCATCACTCTCTGCATTCTACATTACACACATCAGATCATTTCTACAGGCTTTTCAGATCCTCACCTGAACAGCTTAGTTCAGTAAGATGTCACAGTGAAACAGAGTAACAGGGACAGAAAATAGAAACACACTCAGAGGCCTCTTTAATAGTTTTAGGTAGTTCCTAAAGCATATTTGTCAACCAGATAAGTAACAATGTTCCTCAAAAGTTGAACCTTTTGGATCCAGTTTTACCAAGATGAATG